AGTAAATTCATAGTCCTTATAATTGCATGTTAATGTACTTGATGATATGACGCAATTTTTGAAATTAAATTTGATCTTCAGCGAATAATGGCAGAGTTCCAATGGTCAGTAACTGAAAAATAATTCCAATGTTTCCGCTAAAAAAATAAAAATGGCGAAAATGAAACGCTTTAAATGACATTATTTGGGTTTCCAGACGTCAACAGATTACTCACTTTCGTGGACACCACCAAATCATGCAAGTTAAGACACAAACTTTTGACTGAACAATACTCTCGGACATTTCAACTGACCCATATTAACTAAATTGATGAGAGCTTCATCTGCAACTGCACAGGACTTTCCGAAGTGAACGTGAGCGCTGACTTGGTGTACCGGAAACTGCAGCACCTAAGAATAAACACTTCTCCTGGCCCGAATATGGTTCATTTAGCTATACTGAGGGAAGCAACTTCAATCCTGGCAACACCGCTTTGCGTGGTGTTCACATACGCGCTTCGCCGAGGCAAACTACCGTAAATTTGAAAGCTGGATCACATCACATCAATTTTCAAAAGCGGTCGACGCGGCAAACCATCAGGTTACCGACCAGTGGCCCTTTTCTATATACCTTCGAAAATTATGGAGTCCCCGACGGTATACACGAATATTTATTATCATTAAACCTCTTTTCACCCCAACACCATGGTTTCAGGAAAAGTCATTCTTGTATAGCCGACCTGCTGACTGCGGTGGACAGATGGACAAACACTCTTGATCGCAAGGGGAAGGTTGAGTGACTTATCTTGAATTCTATAAAGCTTTCGATAGGGTCAACAATATATGTCTTATCCATAAACTCAAACGACTGAGTATCAAATCACCTCTAATTGACTGACTCACTTCATATCTAAAAAAGCCGACATTTTAAGGTCGAGGTTAACTTCACTTTATCTCAGGCTATGGAATATTCTAGTGAGGTCCCTCAGAGTTCAGTACTAGGACCTCCTCTCTTCTTCATTTATATAAACAATCTTCCATAACAGGTATCGTCGGACTTATTACGTTTTTCTGATGACGTGTTACTTTTGAAAGAGATACGCAACCAAGACGATATACAGACAATACAGGAGGATCTGACAGTGTAGATAGGAGGACCTTGTGGGACCTTCTTTGACACTATGGCGTACCTGAGAAAATCGTCACCATCATCCGGAATTCATACGACGGAGTGCAGTGCAAAGTCGTGCATGGAGGACAGCTGACAAACGTATTCCAGGTGAGGACCGGAGTCAGACAAGGCTGTTTGTTCTCCCTCTTTCTCTTTCTTCTGGTGGTTGGATGGATTATGAAGACCTCTACATCTGAAAGGAAACACAGAATACAACGGATAGCTTGGGTGCAATTAGACGATTTGGACTTTGCAGATGACCTGGCTCTTCTATCCCGTACACAGCAACAAATTCAAATGAAGACAGCCAGTGTAGCAGAAGCCTCTGCATAAGTAGGCTTCAACATACACAAGGGAAAAAGCAAGGTCCTCAAATACAACACAGAGAACACCAACATTATCACACTTGGTAGAGAAACTCAGGAAGGGGTGAAAACTCTTACGTGCCCGTTCAGCACCATCGTTGAACAGGGAGGATGTGATACAGACTTAAAGGTAAAGATTGGCAGAGTAATGGCTGCATTCTTACAGCTGAAGAACATATGGAAATCAAAACGACTATCAAACAATCTTCCACAACAGGTATCGTCTGACTTATTACTTTTTGCGAATGATGTGAAATTTTGGAGAGAGGTACTAAACCGAACGGATGTAGAAGATACCACAGGTATTTGAGGTTTGACAACGCTTTAACCAGTAACACTTTCTACTATGAATCGTACCCACAAAGTGAAATCAAAAGACAGAAGTGAGGAGGTTCGGAGATGTATTTGATAGGCTATCAATATATTGAGAATCGATTGCTCTACACGGGCTAGCGATTGCAGGGGATGTTGAGCACGGCGTTTCTACTCGTGATCTGGGGCGGATACATGACCGAGCGCCTTCAGCTAGGTGAATCCATTAAAACTAATGCGGTCAGCATCCAGTATCGAAGACTTACAGAGCTATTTATTTTGGGGATTTATTTACCCTACAGATCACTCCTCCACTAATGGGGTAGGGATGGCCATAAGACGTGGACAGCCAGAAGTTTCAACCTAACAAGTTTGTCGTTGGCAAATTCTATTCTGATAGCTTGCTACGTTGAGCAGCGTCCGGTCGCCTTTCCTTACTATGAGGCATCAGCTAGTACAATATGGTTGTTAGATCCAAACTAAGGTTTGGTTCGAAGAATAGCTGTCTAGGTGGGTTAGACACGCGCCCTTGCCCGGTTGAAACCAAAATAAAGTGATCAATAATCTCAAATGATTGGGTATCAAATCACCTCTAATTGACTGACTCACTTCATATCCAAGGTCAAGGTTAACTTCACTTTATCTCGGGCTATAGAATGCTCTAGTGGGGTTCCCCCAGAGTTCAGTACTAGGACCTCCTCTCTTCTTCATTTATATAAACAATCTACCACAACATGTATCATCCGATTTTATCAGATATTATATCCAATAGCAATGAGAAGTCTTTTTTTCTAATTCTGACCGCTTTCATGACGTCAACGGTAAACATACTTCAAATGGTGATCACGTTGTTGAATCTATTTTCACTCGCAACACAAATCTTATCTTAACTAATCTTACGACCATTCATGGAACTACCAACTACTTCGACCTGCTTCACCCCGATGACTGTTCCTTATTCTTTTGTCCAATGCCCGCTCTCTGTCCAATGAAATTACCCATTTTGAAACCCTCTTATTCTTTGTAAATCTAATCATTGTATTTAATATGGAAACGTGGTGCAATTCGTCTATATCCGATCACTCCTTGAATGTAGATAGCTACGTTTTCTTTAGAACCGATAGATGTTATGGATTAGGAGGCGGTACAATTATCTATGTCCGTTCAGACATTCAGGCGTGCAAATTGCAGGATGAATCTCTTGATGTTATAGACGACTCCACTTGGGTAATGTAAATTGTGGATCTCAATATTATCTACTGTTGGGATTCATGCACAGACCACTTCATGCTGATACTAAGTTTGACAGATTACTAACAAACATCTTTTTCATTGTTTCGCACCAACCACATACCTTTAAAATCATCGGAGGTGATTTCAATCTGCCCAAAATTACATGTGGTTCGACTCAGGTACCAGGTAGGTATAACAAGCCAGTTGAAACACTAGAAATTTGTGGATGGGTTCAACAGGTACGAAAACCGACTAGGGGGGATAATATACTTGTTTTATTGTTTACAATCAACACAGACTATCTCAGTGCATATGAGTCATGAGTTTTTTTTAGTGATCATAGAGTTCTTTTGAGTATAATCCATTTTTTAAACGCCATACTATTGAACCCCAAAGCTTCAATGATGTACCAGAGCAGATATTATGATCAAAACACCTGGCTACGGACTGAGATTGTTATTCAGTGTATACCATGGGGAACTTATTTTACCACAAATAATATTGACATAGCGCTTTCCAACCTATACCACAACATGATATTGTCCTTGACTGCACTGCTCCAATTATTGGCCATGTGGCTTATGATGTTAATAGGGGCCAGAATACTTTTATAAGAAAGCTGAGGAAATTAAAACACCGCTAATACGAGCATAATGACGTGTATGCACTTCAGAGTATACTTACCTTAATCGACAGAAATGCTTCATCTAAACTCAAGTATTTTATGAATATAGAAAATAAAGCCCTAGGTAGTAAAAGCCCAGAATTATCAATACTTCGGCTTTTTAAATCCCGTGTGAAGTTGGATTCTCTTGGCACGACTAAATACTTCATAGTTAACGGAAGCATGATTAGAAGGGTAAAACCTGGTGTTCGAAGTGTATTTGTATTTGGTTGAGCCTTTGTAATATTTTTGGTACTGATATTGAAATAAAACACTTCTGTACACGCTTTTCATATGGTTTAGACTGTTAAATTCTAACAGTGTTTTGAAGAGCTCCCACATTAGGATTAGACGTCTGAGTATGCGCTCTACTGTTGTATTGGGAAGTATCAGATCAGAAAGTTCAAGATTTATTTCTACATAAGGTATAATACACTGGTTATCTGAGGTTGCTACAGGCTTCAGTGACAATTTAGCATCCTCCCTTGATAAATCAGGGTTTTGACTGACAGACAATGTCAGTCTCACAAGTATGTCCTGTTGATATGTTTGCAGGATTCATCGTATTTTCTATATCATTCTCGTTTGAGGTAAGCTTTTGAGTAGGCCTTTGACTGGTGGTTTTATCTGAGACTATGCGAGCATTCCTGAACTTCGTAGGTGCCTGAATTGACCAGTTGATCAGCTGCTAAATGTGAGTCGAATCTAAATAAAATAAGGCACGGAATATCCTGAGAGTTGGATGTGTTCAGTATCGAAAAAATAAATTTAAGCGGGATTTTGTTACGTATGTTGTAGAAAGTCACGTTATTTCTAGTAATTAGCTTGGTAACTTGGCTAGTAATACAACCAATAACAAATACTGTTTTATCAGTGTTTCCAAGATTAGTAGGAACCACGCCCCTCGCCAATAGTAGCTGAAGTGGTGATAGTCGTTATTTCTTGCTTAAAAAGGAGAACCCGTAAGTAGCTCCACTTTAGGACGCATATCGCGTAATTGCTCATATATACCGTCTAATTCACTCTTTATATTACCTATGCTATGGCATCTTAACGTGGAACTCGTAAGTAACTTAGATACTGAGTTAACCAGCGGCATACGTAACTTAAGTCCAATCCTAACGTTCTCGGTTGGAAAAGGAGTCGCTAAACCGGGGTAATAACAGAGTTGCTATTATTCAAAATATTAAAGCATTTTCGGGCTCGCTTTTTCGATAAGCGACCCATTTTGATGAGTGTTAATCCTTAAGTTATAGATACAATATACGATAGGAGTGAATAATTACATAAATTTTATTAGAGAGCGTATTATTGTAACGTCAAGACTAAACTTGAAATGTGTTGCGAAAAATTAAAGAGAAAAATATGGGCCAGTGTTAATTTCTATAAAAATAAGGAAGTTTGATATTGCACAAGAATTGGAAAAACATATAACATGAGGGGTCGAGATACCCGACTTATCCATAACACTAAACTTATATTTCTGACATTCATTCACATTAGTGGATGGAACAGGAATATCGAGAACATGCACACAATTGCTATGACCATCATTAACGTGTCAAAACAATGTCATTTGTGAAAAGAAAAATTTACTAATCTAATATAGCATTATTTATTTGACGGTGATGGAATGAACAAAAAGTATTCGTTAATGAATTCAAACTTGATTCACTTTGACTTTGACAACATGTGCGGCAAACTGATCTGGCACAGTTTAAACTCTAAAATCGTAATAAAAAAGAAGCTCATTTGACTTCGGAGACATTTCAAAATACAAGGATAAAAAGTATAATTGTGAATATACAACACCATTAACATGATGAGACGAACACAACTAAGCATACCCCTTAAAGTTCAATACACAATATGAATGCATTTCAATAGGCCTGTTAACATCTAATCACACGAGATCAATATTCCACCATCAAAAGCAGTTATGCAACAGTGCGTTTGCGGTTTTGAGGAACACGTCTCAGAATAAAAATTTTACTACTACTTAGCTTTACATATCAAATAACATACAACCATTATCCATTTTTTATCAGGCATTTTGAAAAAAACCATTATTTTTCAATGTAAGCAAATAGTTATATTATAGTAGAATTAAATATGTGTGGTCGGATTTTTATAGAATAGCCTTTCTCAGCTTCCCAAAAAATTATCCGAATCAACTTTTTTCAAAGAGCATGAGAAAACTCAATACTTTCAGTAAACTCACAAATAATTTCTAAATGCAAAAGTCTATCACTAACATGACTTACTTTCCGATTCTTGTTGCAAATAAAACATATGAGCTTTCCTTCAACGATTGCTAATTTCTTAGCAAGTTTAACCTCTTTCTTTGAAGCTTTCCGACTACGTCTTTGCTCCATTAACATAATTTTTTTAGCAGATACGTCACTGTCAACGCTGTGAAAATCCGATCCATTAATTGCTTGCATCGCGATATCAACTTTCGCTTGCTCCGAAAATGTAATTGGTCGCTCATAAGGTTGACATAACCAGTGAGGGTGGGGTAATTCAGTTGAACTGTTTCGCACACAAGACTATCCGAACAAAACCGAAAAATAAGACGAAATTAATTATGCTCGAAAGGACTAATGTATACATGTCGCTGTCAAAATGAATATAAAGCTAGCCGAAAATAGTATGTGGACTTTTTATTGCTAAAAGAGTACGTATGTTCAACTTGAATTCGTTTATTCTTGCACTTCTCCGTTTCTCGCCGACTATAAATCAATGTCGAACACAAAGAAGTAATCAACCAACTTTGTAAATGTTTTCGACTTACTTCGATCAAAAACAAGATACAAGTTCCCCTGAAAGCAAAGAACTGTTTTAGCGTAAACTCGGACATATAGATCAGCGACTTCACAGTGAAAAGAAGCCAAATGAAGCTAATAAGATAGCTCATTGGGAGATACTTTCATTACGAGAGATGAACGCGATTTATTACATAACTCTGAGGCTTTTATTGTCGAATGACATACTTTACTTCCGTTATTTTTATCCTGTTATTAATAATTTAGCACGTACAGATTCATGTACTTGGTTTTGAGCCACATTGTAAGTGGAGGTGGGGCTGGCGATCTACCAGGTTGCCTAAACGGAAGTAGACGGAGCGAGATTCAAACCAAGGACTTCTAAACTGGCAGTAAAATCCGTTGATAGTATGGCAGAGAAGAACCAGTCCTAATAGTTAGGTCTTGATAGTTTGGAGAGTGAGTGAACTACAAACTGATTTCCTCAAATCACCGATGATATCTCACTAAGATGTTATTTGTGTTCATGTTATGTATATGATTACATCATTTAACTGTATGAAAAAAACTTCTTTTGGCTAGTGATCTTTCCTTCGATTTCACTGTCCGGGGGTTTGTGACAATAATACAGTTGCTTGAAAAGCCTCCACTAAGCCATATAGTATCATTGTAGGTTGTTAATCGACTGGCAATGTTTTTTTCTTTTATTTCAGCAAACGACGATCCGTTCGGCAATCCATAAAATCGTTTTTCATAGAACTTAACCAATTAGCCACCATTCTACAACTGAACCTTGAGTTTATTTATATCAATATAATTTTGGACTTATGACGGTATAGATGCGTTCACACGACCGATTAAGAAATTTGTAGATAGTTGAAAACATAGCTGACCATTCCTGATTAACGCAATTTTAGTGCTACAAAGGATTGGAAAGTAAGGTATAGGCATCGAAATAAAAAAAATCAACCATTATCAGTAAATCAGAGAGTTCAATGAAGCAAAAAGGCCTGAGGCCTCTCTGGATGGCTACTGTTGGTCCTAGGCCGGGTATCGGGAGAGGGTTGAGCATATGGTTATCAGCCTCATCTCGCTAAGCAATGCTAGACAGAAAAAATCAACTAAACTCTGCTCTTGGAATCGAAAGGTTGTTGGATAGAATAGTTATAATGCCTTATGACGAAAGCCAAGATTTTTCGAAAGATACGAGTTCGATGCCATTTCTGACAACCAAGGTCACAATAAACACGTGTACGTGAGAAACTTGGATGGTCACTTAAATAGTCGCAGAACCGATAAAATACAACCTGGTTATGCTCGTAATCAGTGAGACCCACCAGACCTAATCCGGGCAAAAAAGACTAACTTCAGGAGAGCTGTTATTGTATTCTGGTTATGGGGAACAAAACATTCCACACAAGCAAGAAGTTGAGCCGATACCATCCAGAGAAGCATGATGCATGGACAACACTGAGTGTGAAACATATCACCGAGTGATATGAACTGGTACAAAAAGACAAGGATGGTATACCCAAGTGTTTTCAAAAAAATGTTCGTAGATAGCAGTATTTTTCCGCACAAATGCGTACAAAGAGCCACATAGATTTCTCACAGCAGTATAAACAATTACAAAACCCCGAAATCACATTTCTATATCGTCATTATGAACCTTTGATATCCTCCAATAAATCCTATAGTGAGGTTGTGCGTCAATGCGTATATTATTACTAATATTATTAAGTAGATGCTCGATTCAGAGATCAACAAGCTGACTTTCATTGGATGAAAGTCATTCCTTTGCATCAATTTTCTTGATTATGAGAAAGCATTCGATAGTGTAAATAGAATAGCCCAATGGAATACCTAAGAAAATGGTCACCACCACATGATTTTCTTTACGATAGATCAAAATTACAAAGTCATGTATAAATGGCAGCTTATGGATGAATTCCAAGTGCGGACTGATGTCAAACGAGACTGTTCACATTCACCCCTCTACCAGCTGTTGACTGGACTATGAAGACCTTTACATCTTAGGAAAAGCGCGGAATACAGTACGCAGTTGGATGATTCGGAATTTTTAGATGACTTGATGTTGCTACCAAATACACAGCAAAAAATCCAGACTGAAATTACCAGTGTAGCATAGGCTTCGTCCGAAGTAGGCCTCGACGTTTATAAGGGAAGAAACGAATCCTGAAACACAATACGGCGTGTGCCACCCAAGTCTTGTTTAATGGTGAAGCTTTCGAAGAAGTAGGAAACCTAAGATACCTGGGCAGCATAACCGACAAACAAGGAGAATCTGATATATATGTAAAGGCACAAATTGACCGAGCAAGTGTAGCATTCCTATGATTGAAGATTATCTGGAACTAAAGAATACTGTTAGTCAAGACTAAAGTCAGGATTTTCAACACTAACGTCAAATCAGCTCTATTGTACGGAGCTGAAACTTGGAGAAATGCCGCAACCATCATCGAAAAAGTCTAGGTATTTATAAACAGCTATCTGTGCAAGATACTCCATATTTATTGGTCAGAGTTCATCTGCAATAACCCACGCTAGCAGAAAACAGACCAGATTCTAGTTGAGGGACCAGTGAGAAAAGATGTTGGTGGTGAATAGAATCCACTTTACGTAAACCACCAAACTGCACCACAAATCAAGCCCTAACTCGGAATCCTCAAGTTGAAAGAAGAGACAGACCAGATGATATATGGCTCCGGGAATCAGAGGCGGATATCAAGACAATAAATAGAGTTTAGCAAAAGCTGAAAAGTAATGGGTTGGAAACTCGTGGTTAGCGGACTATGCTCCAAGGACAGTATCAGGCATAAGCAGATAAAGTAGTAACAAAGTAACAAAACATTTTCGTGATCATGGACTGTGAGGTTTTTGGGATTCTTTCATTACCTAAACTTCGCTTTTACTTTTGATATGTGTTCGCCATGCACTATTGAAATTGTTTGCTTCGGTTGTGGTCTTATTTAATATATGGTTAACAGTCCATTGCATTAGGGATATGTGAGTTGGGATAAACTACTACTAATTTCCAAAAACGATTTACTTACTGAACAGTGATTTGCCATTTTTTGTAATATTTCTTTTATTCCCTTAGTTGATTGAGTAGACCCAATTAGTGAACGATATTCAGAGTGTTCGTCCAATCTATTTGTCAAAGAAAGTAACGACAACGTTTAAGATTCCTAGAAAAACTAAACGTTTGTTCATCTACATAGATGCAAATCACTGAAGAGAAAGGACTTTGTGGCTGAACACTAATGTAAGATAATAAAAACCTATACAACAGATATTAGCAATTGGCTGCGCCACGTCCAGTAGAAGTAATCCTTAGTGATAAAAATACTTGTTTTTAAGAGTTGGCAAAAATAATGGTCATTTTCCTAAAATTCACTGCTTAGTCTGTTGTATTTAGTACAAAGACGTGACTACACTATGAATAGGGGTGATCTTCCTGTTGTAGCAATTTTCGTTCTTTCGACTCGCCAATAAAAAATAGTTAATGAGTACTTAAAACCAACTTACACTCCTCTCAACATCCATGACTTCTAAAACGAGTTAAAATTGGATAGTGATTTATAGAACTTGCACAAAGGTTGTCTTTTGTTGACTGAGTGTTGGATTTAGTGTAAGTAACCATGGGCGAATACCGAAATTATGTTGTTGTTTTAACACAACAATAACTGTGCTTATAAATGAATATTATAGTAAATTTCATCTTCTTGATATTGGTATTCAGCCCAATTCAAATGGTCAAGAAGGATCTATTCATCGGAAAGGCATTTGTGATGGGCTTTACTTAGATTTCAATGATTTCTGCCCAATAAACTACAAAGGGGTTTTGGTTAGAACACTAAATAATCATGTACTAAAACCGTATTCAGAAGAGAAAATTGAATTAATTATAAGTGAGAAGTTTTTGAAGTTTATCACCAAGTATGAGATAATAAAATAATACAATCATCATCAAAAATGTACAGATATTTATAAACAATTGTCTACGCAGGATACTCAATGTCCGTTGATCGGATACCATCAGTAACAACGTACTATGGTAAAGAACAAACCAACTTCCAGCTGAAGAGGAAATCAGGGAAAGACTCTGGAGGTGGATACGAAGTACATCGAAGAAACCATCAAAATGTATTACGAAGCAAGCCCTAACTTGGAATCCTGAGAGCGAAAGGGAAAAAGAAAGGCCCAGGAACACATTGCATCGGGAAGCGAAGGCAGAGATCAAAAGAATGACTAGTAACCAGAAACAACTAGGAAGAGCCCAGAATAGAGTTGAAGAGTCCTAGTTGGCAGCCTCGGCTCCACCATGATGGGTAACAGACGTAAGTAGTTGATGAGCAGAGTATAAATAACACCAAGCGAAGTTGGAAATTGAACACGAAACATCGTTGAAAAGGAGCCAAACGAAAAGTATGAAACAACCGGCAGCTCGGGGTTTGCAGAAAGATGATTAATCCTACTGTGACATTTCGAGCCATACCTAAGATCTTTCTAGAAACTATGATTATTATGTCTAAAAAACCGTGGCCAGGTGTGTTATTTATGCTAAAGTTGATCATAAAATATGTATAAAAACCTATCTCAATATGATATAAACTGAATATCACTTCAGTTTTAAGCTTAGTAACTATGATGCTCATCACCATTAAGAATGAGTAAGCAATTACTGAAGCGTCTAAGGACCAGATCCAAAGATATTTTGGCCACATATCGCGTTACATTATGACTCTAGGTCTTAGTAACGAATGAAACAAATTGCACTCACGCGTGATGACATAGTTTAAAGATATGTCCTCTGATGATTTGCATGGATGTTGGGTACTTTTCCACAAAGTCCAAATATTCAAAACACATGTCGTAGATACATGGTTGAATTCCTAGGAATAAGGCCGGGTTGTGAAGATGACCCTCTAAAAGGAAGAAAAGTTAAAAGAAGTGAGGCACATAAAAAATATATTGATAAATGATAGGGACAGCTGATCTAGTCTTTTATTTGTAATTAGAATATTAAATTAGACAACTTTCTACACGTTTAGAATATTTAGTCAGTCAGTCAGCCATACGCAAAGTAGAACCTGACATGTATGTACACCAGTCATAGATTCTACACCACATTAGCACACTAAAATGATACTATCAGGGAAAATCCCAGAGTACTACAGGTGAAGGAAAAAATAATTTAGAAACTTAGGATCCAAATGAAGGGAAGATGTGAATGCACCTGCATCATTGCGAACGAATCTGAGCCATATCATCCAAAGCCTCTAAACAGTATTTATAATAATCCCGCGCACCCCAACCAGGTTGTGTTGAACTACCTGCATAGTTCAGTTCAAATGTCGTTGACTTCATGGATTAGTGACACGTTTTTGATTGGCCACACTTATCCGTTCTCAAGCCTAATCCCACAACAACTATCACAGTGCGTCAACCAAGTAAGTGAACGGCGAAACGTGAAGGTACACATCAAGCATTGCACTCAACATATATTCCCTGGACGTCTATCTTGTCGTAGAAGAGTAGAAAGCATCCCATAAAACTCAGTTTTCGCTTCGTTCAAAACACAATTAAGAAACAATGTCGTGTCCCTATCTCCCCGAGTTTTGTTATCTTGTTTAGTCGGACAACGCACAAGCGCCTATCTAGCAGAATCCGGTCCGAGATGTTCTGCCCTGTTTTTGAACCTAGTGCTGTACCTGCACGAGCGAGATTACAGGAAGTACTAGTGTGGTCTCCAGACACAGGGTAAATTTCCCTGATTTAGTTGTGTTCAAATAGATTACCACTCTCGAATTTTGCATGCATGTATCGGAGATACAACGCACGCCGATAGCGCGAATTTCCGCACTCTTAAGTTTTGCTTTGGTGTTTGAGATAATGAATACAGAGCTGTTCATATTGATTAAAATGGGAAACACGGTACAGCAAAATACATTATTTTCAGTCGAATAAAATCGGAAAAAAATCAGACGTGGTACGTTCCATAGGAATTTAATTCCGAGATAGTAGTAATTAGAGCTGAGATCCATCAACACACTAAGAAAATAGGAGATAAACGGGGATTACAAGCAGTACTAGTCAGAAGAAAGTAATATATTATAATTATATTATATATATTATAATTATAAACTTATAACTGTAGAGCCTGATGATGAAGTTATTGAAAACAATTGTTCGCTCAAATATTCTTCATTTTTAGAAAGTAATATGTAAAAGAAAATTTAGTGTCAGCGAATTCCATTCCAGTAGTTTATCGATTTTCATCCTAACGATGTACCAGAAACTAGCGAACTATAGCTTTAAAGAAATACATTTCAGAAAACGAAATAAATAACATTCTGGATAGACAGAAACCTGCACTCATAACTGCGTCGGCTTTTGTTGAGTCCAAACACTGATGAACATCTGACAAATACTGAATATTTCCGTTGGCAATAACAGGTATTTTTACTGCTTCTCTGAAAAAAAGTAAATTATCACATTGAAAAACAGTGAAAGTAAATACAATACACAATTAACACACAACTAGGTTGTACTAAGGACAGATAAATAGCGCATTAGCCAAATTTTGGTTTATGATGTGTGTTTATTAGATAAACCCGACCACTAAAAGGTGAATGGAATAAGATAATTCCTAATGTAAATATTCAACTTTAGACAATGTAACTCGAGATCACTATTTTATATGAAGTAACTGTGGAAACCATTTATGTCAAAATTTTTTGCAAAAAGGACAAAATAAACTTTAGATAAGAAATATGAGGATTGACATTTTTCGTTTGATCACAACTGATACTTAACTGACCTAGCAATTTAAAACAGGATGTTACTGACAGAGGTTTATTTGTTATAACTCTTAATACTAACCATTTTATACGTTGTATGTCTGAGTTAACTTGGTTTGTTAATGATTGTTTCAACTAGAAATAACCGATAAAGTATGGGTATTTCCAGTCAATAAAAATCAAGATCACTTATTATATGCCACCAAAACTTAACACAATTTAAAGAAAGATGATTAATGTAAGAAAAATATCTACAGTGAAATCTATCTTACACTATTATATTTAGTATGAAATTAGTTAAACTTACTTTACTGCCCTAATTTGATTCCAGTCAGCAAGTCCAGTTTTTTGACCCTTCATTTCTCTGGTGCGTCCGTGAACTGTGAGCATAGAAGCCCCGGCAGCTTCGAGAAGTTTTGCATACTGAACAGTTCGCTCAACGTCACTAAAGATTCGGATTTTGCAGGTGACGGGAACATTAAGCTCTAACGAAGCGCGGCTAACTAATAAGTTGACAAATCGGGATAAGAAATAAATATTGACTTTTGATAGGAATGAAGTTACATATAAAATATATATATTAAAACCATAGCAATCGCACAACAGCAAAAACGATTTGACCTTATAGTTTATGTGATCATGAACCGAAGATGACATGCTAACAGTAAATTTTTAGTATGAATCTTCTACTGGTTCATTTTTTATTTTTATCATTTGAATTTTCTGCAGTGATGCAGTATGATAAATTGAACAGATGCAAATTTGATTTAGGTCCTCAGGTTGCTTATGACTAACGATACGATTTTGAAAAAAATACAGAGCAATAAGCGTTTTAATCTTCTGAACAGCATTGTAAAACAGCATTTCATTGATACATATGTATAGATGTTTATTTTAATTTAATACATTCTGTACTTTTATGTTCTACTCACTAAATTTATTTATTCGGCAACCGAACTCCGACTTATATAGTGACAGTCTTAAATTGATATTGTGGTGATAAAATTAAAGACGAACATCATATAAAAATCTGCAGATAATTCAATAATTACAGAAATATAGGGTACAACCATAAGGTTAGAAATCATGAATGATACAGCAATATTGTTATATTACTACCGAGAAAAAGCAAATGTATAACTCACTAATTTAGTTATATTTCTTAATTAAAGCAGTCAATCAACTGATGCCGTAAATCGTAAACATACGCAGTCAAACAAATAGCCATATCAGTAGCAGTATCAATATTTTATCAAGATAAAACAATAACTTATGAATTTGGCCTAAGTAAATGGTCTCATAAATTTTGGTCATTATTTATTGAGCACTGCATGAGAACGTAAAATGGTGATTTAAGACAAACAGAAAACTAAATCCAAGAGTTGGTGCAAAATCTCGCTGAAAATGAGAGTAGTGATGCAACAGTTTTGCGCCATACGGGCCGAGATTACCAAGATCATGTGATATAGCAAGCGAAGACTAACGATAATTATAATATCAATAGTTGAAATCATGAGTTAATTGAAGCTAGACTACCATGGAAATCCTGAAAGCACTGGACAGTCGTTCCGTCCTAGTATGAGGCCTCTCAGCAGTGCTCATCCACGATCCCGTCCCCAGAGAGATTCGAATCCAGGACCCATCAGTCCTGGGACTGTAGTGGGAAGCCGTAACCAGTGGAGTTCAACCAGGTTTGTTGTGAGATATTAGCTCACTGAAGACAATGGTGTACGGTGACGCGATTTCGTGGATTGGTTGAAGTTAGACATTAACACTGTTGGATACCGGCTTAGTGGTCTAATGGTTAAGCTTTCGCGCGCGAGACTGATAGGTCAAGTGTTCGAATCTCGCAGGGGGGCGGGATAGTGGATGCACACTGCTGGGGAGTCCCATACTATGACAAAACGGCCGTCTAGTGCTTCCACGATTTCCATGGTGGTCTAGCTTTAATTTACTCATGATTTTAACTGCTGAAATTACTAAAATCTCCACAAAACTCCTTGTGATGATAATTATAATAATTTTTTGACATGAAAAAACTTAAAAATAATACAAATACAAAAAGTACTTTGGCTCTCACTTAAAACGAAAAAAACTTTCACTAATTTGATCATGACTGTTTGAACTAGTAAACGGCAGATAAATAAACCAAAGAATCTGCTATGAAAAATGCAACGACTTAGGTTACTAACAAGTAAAGGAACAGAGTTTAATTACTGTGAATCGAGCAATAAATTCCACCATGACGTGGAGATCTTTAAACTATGTCATCACGCGTGAGTGCAATTTGTTTCATTCGTTACTAAGACCTAGAGTCATAATGTAACGCGATATGTGGCCAAAATATCTTTGGATCTGGTCCTTAGACGCTTCGGTAATTGCTTACTCATTCTTAATGGTGATGAGCATCATAGTTACTAAGCTTAAAACTGAAGTGATATTCAGTTTATATCATATTGAGATAGGTTTTTATACATATTTTATGATCAACTTTAGCATAAATAACACACCTGGCCACGGTTTTTTAGACATAATAATCATAGTTTCTAGAAAGATCTTAGGTATGGCTCGAAATGTCACAGTAGGATTAATCATCTTTCTGCAAACCCCGAGCTGCCGGTTGTTTCATACTTTTCGTTCGGCTCATTTTCCACCACATGGAGTTTAGTTTGATGATTAAAAAATGAAGAATATTTTCCAGGAACAACTAAAGGAGTTAATCAGGCATGAAAGTGATATCCACCCCGTGGTAGCTTGACACGATGACCAAACACATGAGCAGTGTTATCTAACAGTAATTAAAACCACCAGTTTCAGAAAAATCACTGGATTTCTCTGGCGTCTACGTAACTGATCGGTTCTCGGTTTCATCAAGCTTTGAAAACGATAAGGAGAGGAGGCAGCCTGATCGCAGATTGACGAAAAGGCTACTCAATGATCATGGGCAGTCGTGGATAACAAAAGCTGAAGATGTGCTGTCTGCTTTTTCTATTTTCATTTGACTTTGTCATAGATGTCTGTTAAGGTATAATGCTCTCATCGTCTGACTTTTCATTTGTTGACTTAGAGTCAGTTAGTCAGTCAGCTACAACGTAGGACCAGGCACATATGTGCATCGGTCCAAGTTGCCATACCTTATGTACACAACAAGATGGACACCGGATTCATAAAAGTAGTTAATTCAGAGGTGGTAATATATAAAAGAAAGATTGCAATAAGGATATAGTACACGAAGAAAGAATTAGTTCTTAGAAAGAAAGATATGAAGCGATTTTAATCTCTTAGTTTAAGAGAAGACAGAGAGTGTATACACCCACGCCATTGTGTCCGATTCTGAGCCATGTCACCAAGAGTCTCCAACCATTGGTTACGATAGTCACGCGGACCCCAACCAAGTAGTCTGCATCTACCAACATGGCTAAGACTAGAAGTTAGTGGCTTCAAGCACTGATGCCATGTTTTGGTTTGGCCGCCCCTAACTTTCTTCCAACCATCTCCAACACCGGTTAGTATTGGGCGTCGTGGTAATCGGTGTTCAGACATACGTAACACGTGGCCCAATCATCTCAGTCGATGACTTAGAATAAGCAAATGATATAGTTTTGTTTGGTGAAGACGTTGACAAAATGCTGGGTCTTCTGACCACCTTAGAGAGCAACACCAACATTTTTGGGATCCGATGGTCTCACTTAAAATGTCAAATGTTGCTTCAAGACTGGACTGCATCATGGCCTGAACTAATAATAGTAAGTGGAAGAATAGGGTGCTTCGACTGTCCGCTTATCATGAGAGTCTCATTAGTCCCGATGGTTTGGTGTCTGACGAAATCCCGGCATGGATTTAAGAAGCTCGATTGGCCTTTGTCAACTTGCGTCGCTTGTGGCGCAGGTGGGACATCCGTTTGCCAACAAAAGCACAAGTTTAGCGTACAACACTTCAATCTACCGAACTTCATAGTTGTGAAACGTGGCTATTAAGAGTAGAGGATATTCGTAGGTTACTAGTATTGAATAAAGCCATTAATAATAATAATAATTCGATCATAGGTGTCTTCGAAGAATTGCTCGTGTAGTTTAGGACCATTGAGTAAGTAGTGCCTGGGTTAAAAATAGTGTAGTGGTGAGGATGGGAAATTGCTTGAGGAGGTAGGAAATCGTTATCAACTGATATTTATTTGAACACATAAATGTTGGTACAAGGGGGCACCAGATACATATGCACCATACAAATCTCATTCGATTTGTGTATGGGCTAGAATACCGTTCAGGCGTCCAAACAGAAGCAGGTGGTTTTCTTAGGGGACCACATCCGGAGCCTTCGACTTAAAGGTCTGAACTACAGGGCAATAGACCAACATTAGGAGATGAGATCTCATGGTGGCCGGTGGCGAATAATTGGTTCCCTCTGGATCCTGGAGCCCATGTGCACCATTGGTTTGGAATCAGGGTTTTTGACTCACGTAAGTGGACCCTTCGTGTACACTAATCCTGTTACGACGCTGGACATTTGCCTTTCATCCTCTTGGTTTCGTAAACAACACCCGCGCCGCGAGGTATTGAGTAGGAATTCCCTGGCAGTGGCTGTATACGCGTGGCCATATGAGAGCATTTCGAGAGGGATGGCTGATTTTACCTACCGTCGGCCGTACCAAAGCATTTGGGGGCTATCAATTAAGATGGTTGGAATATGTGTTACGTAGCTCCACCACTAACCTTGACACGCTGACAGCTGTTGTAAGGGTGCACCCTAATATACATCCTTAAGCACCTTTTTACAAAACCACAAATGCTGACAAAACTTATGACATGTTTCAACCGTGTTTAGCAATAGAAGATAGATGTTTATCATCTATTCTTATTTGGTCATTTCATTTTATTTGTTTTTGCAACTACTGTAGCCCTTGTTCAGATACCATTATTTGCAAATCACGATTACTCCTATTTATCTAAGTGTGGTCACACACACGTAGGTTCATAACCACAGTGGGATGTGACGCAATCATTATAGGCTGTATAGGTTTACGATTAATCATGAACCTTGTTTTTTTTTCAAACAAATTTCTTCTACAACTTTACATGTACTAGCTGACAGTCAATATGGGAAATGCCCGTTTATAAAAACTTCGGCTTGAACAAACCATCAACTTCTATGGTCGAGTATTCATAGATACTGTATCAAGTAGATTTCGGTAGCCTCCTTAAATCTAATGAACGTCGTAGTGCTTCAAGTTTAGTAGACATATTGGAAACCAAGTTATCCGAGGCAGTTATTAAGAAATTTAATAATAAACACGACTAGAAGTTTGAAGAATATCCAAATGGTTTTATACTTAACTACATTAATGCGAAATCAGGCTTTAAGAATATAAATGACAATTATAAACATGAAATACGGCTAATATTTTCACGAAATAACTAGATCTAGAGCATATATATCCTTAGCTATTCTTTAACTTATGAAATAGTTATTTTCAGACAGAACCCAAAATATGGACGAGCACAGAATAACAGAGTTTACAAAAAAAATGACTGCGTTAGTTGATAATAACTTTTTTCAGGCTTAAGGTGTTTAAATTATTTCAACCTACTACGACCTGAACCAATTTTGTGGAGTAATGAACTATCTTAAACCGCCGAAGCAGCTTTTTGACAACTGAACTGCACTTCTAGCTATTTTAATGATTCAAACCTGACACAATTTAGGGTTTTATCGAGAATGGTTGAACTTCTAGTGCTAATCTATAGGACAATAGTTACTCGGTGTACAGATGGTTGCACTGTTAAATCGCCACACATTACCATTTTGTCAACCTTTGAAAGTTCACACGGGTTGTGGGGAACCTATTACGCAACTGTTTATAGTCTGATAAAGAATATGGAGAGTGATACGCACGCAGATTAACTTCCATACCATAAATTCTATGGAAATGAGCATAAAAAATGTCCCATGATGTACTCCGAATACGCTGTATAAAACTGAGTTTATCAATTTTTATAGGACGATTTCAAAATCAACCTGTCGTCAAAGACTGATACGTGCTATGATATTCGCAAGAATAACTGCACATAACGTTATGCAGTAGGTTGTCTAAGATATTTAGGAACCGTGGGAGAACATGTGGATTGACATAAATGTCAAGTCGCTTCATGACGCGTACATTCTGAATACTATAAACACATTCGATAGTACTGAAAATCCAACGATTTACTTAATATAATGTACCTTTTTATAAGCCGAAGGATAAGATGAAGATGTCTTCCAAAAAGTAAAGTAAGTGAAAGGCATTGCACACTAACATGCGCTTCGTGGAACACACTCAACATCCAGGGTTAGAAAAACATATGAGTCGTTCTGACCAGTTTTCCAGATAGAATTTTACTCTGGTCATTACACAATTATGGAGCTTATCTTATTAACGTTAATTGCCATTAAAAAAACACGTTTTTGAATTGGACTTACCTATCTCCTTGAGAGAATTCCACTCATCTTGTAAAAACGCACCATAATGCCCTCTTTTAGCAATTCCTTGAGGGCAACCGAGATTCAGGTCGACTGCATCGCAAAAGGGCTGCACCAATTTAGCACACTTAACAAATGTATCTGGAGAATTAGCACAAAACTTGAAACGAAAGTAATAATTTTTTCGGACATGCGCACTTGAACAATAAGTGGTCGGTCTTCTGAGGCGAACTGCAAGCAACTTCGGCGGTATTTCATGTTAATGAGAAATGCAGTCGAGTTAATCATGGGTGTGAAAGTTAGTTGGACTCCATATTTACGACCAAGCATCCTCCAGGCAAGTTCACTGCCATCAACCATAGGTGCTAAAACGTATTTAGGTGAATTCCAACTATCGAGTAAACTCATTGAAGTTAAACAAGTGAGACAGCAAAACTTCTGAACTCTGTAAAGCGTGTTTGTCCTGGAGGTTCACCGACGTAAAATTACGAAGACGATCGACACAAAATAGCGACAACACGAGCGAAAATAAGACAAACTGACAGCCTAAAATAAGATGATGCCACAACCGAAAAGACCAGGTCAAGAATGCCTCCACGACCTTGAGTGGCTTAGCTCTAAGCGGGCATATAGTATTTGAAGGATTCGGGGTTGGTGGTGTTCAAATGGTTCAAATAGTTGTGGACGGAATAGAAGCAACTTTCGCTTAACAGGCTTCCGTGTCTAGTAGCAGGGGATCACCAATACCTCCAGGCAGGAACCTAGGTATATTAACTATAATAGATCAGAAAAAAAGAAATTGGTAACTCATGATAAGATAATATCCTTAGTCTTTAAGAATAGGTCAAGTTTCCTCTTCAAGGACTCCTGGAAAGTCGCTTGGAATAGTTCAGTCGGCAGCGAATTCCAGCATTTGACAACTCTTAAGGAGCAGAAGTTGTGTCTACAGTCCATTCTGCTGTGTTGTATCTCCACTTTCCTGGTGTTACCCCATAGGTTTGTATTGGGACTAAGCTTAATTAGGTGTTTAAGGGGATGTCCAGGAGTGCTAAGGGTACTGTAAGCCATCAGAAGGTCACCTTTAAGACGCCTATACTCTAATGGGTAAAGGTTAAGTGATTGGAGGCGCTCTTCATAAGGTTTGAATGAGTCCCCGAACTAATTTTGTGGCTCGCCGTTGGATAGGCTCCAGAATGTCCCTATCCTTTTGGAGGGGAGAGAAATACTATGTTTCCGTACTCTAAATGGGGACGAATAAAACTGTTGAAGATTATGTGGAAAGTTCTTCCGTCACACTGGCCGAAAATGCGCTTTAACGTTACCAGTGCAAGGTTTGCTCGAAAGGCATTTTTGTCACGGCTAGCGTAAGACTTCAAATCACAGGGTATCAGGACTCCTAAATTTTCTTCGACGCGAGATACTACTAGGGAGGAGTTTCTTAAGTTGTAACTAGTCTGAGACTTGTCTCAGATGGACTACTTTACACTTTGAAAGTGTTAAAGGTAAGTCCGTTGTCGTCTGCCAAACTTTGAAGTCGAGTCAGATCCTCCTGAATTGTCTGTATATCGTCTTGGTTGCGTATCTCTTTCAAAAGTAACACGTCATCAGAAAAACGTAATAAGTCCGACGATACCTGTTATGGAAGATTGTTTATATAAATGAAGAAGAGAGGAGGTCCTAGTACTGAACTCTGAGGGACCTCACTAGAATATTCCATAGCCTGAGATAAAGTGAAGTTAACCTCGACCTTAAAATGTCGGCTTTTTTAGATATGAAGTGAGCCAATCAATTAGAGGTGGTCTGATACCCAATTATTTGAGCTTATGGATAAGACATATATGGTCAACCCTTTCAAAAGCTTTTGAGAAATCAAGGTAAATGATGTCAACCCTCCCCTTGCGATCAAAGATGCTTGCACATCTGTCCATTGCAGTTAACAGTTTGGTTATACAAGAGCAACCCTTCCTGAAACCATGTTTTTGGGGTAAGAAATTTAAGGACAGTAAATAGTCATGTATACCATCGCATATCAGGGACTCCATGATTTTTGAAGGAAAATATTCAGAATTTGTCATGGTTGTTGTTATCGCTTTGGTTACATAGTTTTCTTGTTACAGGCTAAGAACTTAAAGTTGATGTCGTCTTTCTTTCTTAAAGCCCGAACATGTACGTTCTCTCCAATCCCAATCTTCATTATTGGAAGCGGAAGTTGAGGCACTGAATGCACACGTCAGTCGTCTGGAAAAAGAACGCTTGGTTTTAATTGCTAAAAAAGATCAAATTACAGACAACTTCTTCCGCTTGGGACTTGCTTGTCGCAGAGAGATAGAGAAGCTAAAGTCACAAATCAAATTACTTTGCACGAAGTAAGTAGATTTGTAAGATTTTTATCAATCGTGTGGACTCTAGTTTCATGCTTCGACCGTAAAATATGATATCTAACGTGGCTTGGCGGTTTCGTTCGAGTTTTAAGTCTATCTATATTTTGGTTCTTAGTTCAAACTATTCAGAGAAACCATCCTAACTACCTCAATTTATAGATCATAGGTCAGTTAACCTGGCGTCTCAGTCACATTTTCTTAAAGCTTATCAACAATACATCTTTCGCTCTGCTAGTCTTGTTGACTATAGGCTTCTGGGAAACAATTCAAATAATTTCTGGCTACTATCTGATGACAGCTTACTATCTGCCATTTCTCATGGTTATTGTGTGACGTTTAATTCAGTGCGTAAACTATTTTGGCTCTGTCAGGGTAACGAGTAACTACAGTTCAGAAGTCACGCGGAATAAAGTGGCAGTCTTCTACCTATCTAACCTAACAATGACCCACAGTGATTTATATGTGACTTTGTATCTGCGGCCATCAAGTCAATTAGCTTAGTGTTGAAAGGAAATTGTTGGTTGTCGAAATGAAATCATAAGAGACGTGTTCCTCAAATATGAGAAAATCGCCTATTACTAAGACTTTCCTTGAAACTTACCCGATATGCTATCTATCCTATTTTAAATAGGGTTTTTAGGTTGAGTGCTTTACTGTGTAGTTAACAGTATGCTTCTGCTACACTGGCTGTCTTCATTTGAATTTGTTGCTGTGTACGGGATAGAAGAGCCAGGTCATCTGCAAAGTCCAAATCGTCTAATTGCACCCAAGCTATCCGTTGTATTCTGTGTTTCCTTTCAGATGTAGAGGTCTTCATAATCCATCCAACCACCAGAAGAAAGAGAAAGAGGGAGAACAAACAGCCTTGTCTGACTCCGGTCCTCACCTGGAATACGTTTGTCAGCTGTCCTCCATGCACGACTTTGCACTGCACTCCGTCGTATGAATTCCGGATGATGGTGACGATTTTCTCAGGTACGCCATAGTGTCAAAGAAGGTCCCACAAGGTCCTCCTATCTACACTGTCAGATCCTCCTGTATTGTCTGTATATCGTCTTGGTTGCGTATCTCTTTCAAAAGTAACACGTCATCAGAAAAACGTAATAAGTCCGACGATACCTGTTATGGAAGATTGTTTATATAAATGAAGAAGAGAGGAGGTCCTAGTACTGAACTCTGAGGGACCTCACTAGAATATTCCATAGCCTGAGATAAAGTGAAGTTAACCTCGACCTTAAAATGTCGGCTTTTTTAGATATGAAGTGAGTCAGTCAATTAGAGGTGATTTGATACTCAGTCGTTTGAGTTTATGGATAAGACATATATTGTTGACCCTATCGAAAGCTTTATGGAATTCAAGATAAGTCACTCAACCTTCCCCTTGCGATCAAGAGTGTTTGTCCATCTGTCCACCGCAGTCAGCAGGTCGGCTATACAAGAATGACTTTTCCTGAAACCATGGTGTTGGGGTGAAAAGAGGTTTAATGATAATAAATATTCGTGTATACCGTCGGGGACTCCATAATTTTCGAAGGTATATAGAAAAGGGCCACTGGTCGGTAACCTGATGGTTTGCCGCGTCGACCGCTTTTGAAAATTGATGTGATGTGATCCAGCTTTCAAATTTACGGTAGTTTGCCTCGGCGAAGCGCGTATGTGAACACCACGCAAAGCGGTGTTGCCAGGATTGAAGTTGCTTCCCTCAGTATAGCTAAATGAACCATATTCGGGCCAGGAGAAGTGTTTATTCTTAGGTGCTGCAGTTTCCGGTACACCAAGTCAGCGCTCACGTTCACTTCGGAAAGTCCTGTGCAGTTGCAGATGAAGCTCTCATCAATTTAGTTAATATGGGTCAGTTGAAATGTCCGAGAGTATTGTTCAGTCAAAAGTTTGTGTCTTAACTTGCATGATTTGGTGGTGTCCACGAAAGTGAGTAATCTGTTGACGTCTGGAAACCCAAATAATGTCATTTAAAGCGTTTCATTTTCGCCATTTTTATTTTTTTAGCGGAAACATTGGAATTATTTTTCAGTTACTGACCATTGGAACTCTGCCATTATTCGCTGAAGATCAAATTTAATTTCAAAAATTGCGTCATATCATCAAGTACATTAACATGCAATTATAAGGACTATGAATTTACTTTGGCAAGGAAGTGTTAGGCACGAGTGATCAAGCCTCTATTTCGTGGAATGTTTTGGTCGGTATAAGTGGACGGGTTAGACGGCTGATTCTGAATGAACTGTTAGTGTTTACGGATGACTTCCAGAAGGCAGCTAATGGATTTCGTCTCATATGATAAGCATAGTTTTTTCCTTAGTAGACAACGTACACTCTTTATATACAATTGGAGAGATGTAATCATGCGAACTTATACTCAACACATAGGTGAGAACTGGGTTTCTTTAGTGGTATGCAATTTCGTCCTTCCTCATGACATCGATACGAATTATTAATAAGACATATATTGTCACGTACTTTCGATGTGACCGAGGATATTCAGTATGGAAATATTCTCCTACTGTTGGCTTATAGCGATCAGCTTGTTTTGTAATTCATATTCAGGACTTGTGACATAGTACACGATTAGAATAGACCTCGTCCAAGTTTGTGGAGAGCATACAAAATAGTCATACCGGAGTGTATTGCAACGAAAGACCGGTCAGTAAATACTAGCCTATAAATTAAAGATGCATGGCCCATATTTGAAGGTAATCTGAGCTTAATTATGTCCTCGTTTATATCATACTTAATACCATGTAGGCCTATTAACTGCCCACCATGAATAACCAAAAAGATCAAGAAACGTCTTAGACGTAGAAAAGAGAATGGAGTATTATTCTGTACATGCTTTGAGCGGTATGGATCCACTGATTACAAGGCTAGGAGTGCTTGCAAACAACTAAAGTGTATGATGTATTTACTTGTTTGAATGACAGGTCAGTTAAAAAAATGTACTTGAATGTAATCGCCTGGTAGCGAACACTAGTGTGTGTTGTGCAATGAAGAGCAATTAATATGCAGTTCTTCATTTCTATGTGCAATAGAAGATGAGAACAACAAACAATGTTTCGGTCTTTCTTTAATACGTAACATTACATTTAATTGACTATTTTCGACGACCAAAAATCTTCCAACGAATGTTGTTTGGAAGAAAAGCTACAACGACAGAATACACACGTTGCAATCGACGAAATTCATGATTTACGTCTCTAATAAAGACTTCAAAAATTAATGTCAATTAAAGAGATAA